GTAATATTCAACACTAAGATGAAAATCTTCTTGATTAAGATTACGTGGAATGAAATAACATTTATACGTTATAGATTTTTGATTACATAAATGAAGTAATTTATAATGGTACTACAGTACTTGAGGCCATCAGAAGTAAGGTTCTCTCAGGATTCTATTGCTGGAAGATTTCGAAATGGCGGGCTTCTGAATAATGCCATATATAATATTCAAAAGGGAGTGCTGAGCCCAGACGATTTTCCATATATCAATGTGGTGCATAAAAATGGAAAATTATATAGTTTTGACAATCGAAGACTATATATTTTTCGTGTATGTGAGTATGGAGGGGTCATAGAAAAAATACTGGTACAGATGGTGGAGAGCTCACAACCACTAGAGGATAGATTCACTACGGAAAATGACGGAGTAACAATTGTTGTTCGGCAGGGAGGAACAAAACTACATTACAGAAAACCCTGGTTGCAGGACCCCGGTGACAGGGGGAACCGAAATCTTTCGCCGAGCACGCCGAATTATGCTGTACGAGAGGTAGGCTATTTAAAATTGAGCTTGATTATATCTACTTTTAATAGTAATTTAAATGTCATCTTAACATCTTGGAAGGCAAGAATCGCGTAACAGAGGTACGTCTCGTACGTTTTAAGTATTTGTTGGACACGAAGTATATGAGTCGTTTTGTTCTCAGGCTATGTTGTTGTTGTTCTTCTTATTGTTATGGACCAGTTGCTTTGAAATTTTCAGTGGTTAACGATTGTATATTTGCTAGAAGGCTATTTATCATTTTTATTTTTCCAAATTTCGAATTCCTGTGGGCTTGATACGTCTATAACAGAGTGGTTCAAGCGTGTCGGCTGCGGTGACAACAAATTTATTTTTGTATTGTTCGCAGGCCACAATAGTGCCAAGAATAGATGGACAGTGCAATACAAAACAAACACTTTTATTTTGCAAACAAATTGAACAGTGAAAGTGAACAGTCTTTTACATAGCTAAAACATGCAAAAACCACCAAAAAACTTACTAAACCTGCAAAATCTTTCTCTATCTAAATCTTTCTAAGCGTGAGATTTCATACTCCCATAACGAAAAAATTGCTTTCGCAAATGTAAATGCTTTTAAACATCGATAGTATTTTCAAAGCAAAATCTTTACTTTGATTAATTACTTAATCTTCACATATATAAGCAGCATTTTTTTGTAATACTCTTTAGGCTGGTTGCAAAAACACCTGGCATGAATTATGAGGGGGTGTCTCAAAAGTAAATATACACTTTTAATTTGCTTTTCAGGTACTCATCATAGAGCGTTCATTTCTTCAGGAAACATACTATGGATAACTAGTAAAATTTAGGAATTGTTTGCTTTTTTCAACAACCCACAGAATGACAGGTAGATCAACCTAAAACATGAGGAGCAAAAAGCATGTAAATCAGTAAGGCATACTTAGCGCCTCTTTAACAGAGAACTTGAAATTATTTCAGATTCAAATGTTTTCCTCAGAGCGTGCGCTCCTTGGTCTTCCTGATTTTTGTGCATCAACTACAGTTTTCATAAATTTTTGATAAATTTTGCAATTCTTCTCCGTAAAAGTGCCGATTGCCTTACTGTTTTATATGCTTCCTGCTAAACAGCAATTCTCACCTTATTTCTCGGCTTAATCTCCTTGGCATTCTGTGAGTTGTTGAAAAATATAAACAATACCTAAATTTTACTACTCATCCATACTATGTTTCTCGAAGAAATGAACGCTCTATGATAAGTACCTGAAAAGCAAATCAAAATTAAAAGTGTATAATTATATTTGAGAAACCCTGTATATAGGCCATAACATTAATATTTAGTTATCAGGCAAAGCCAACCTAGATAGCATAGCAATCTAGCTAATAGAATCCGCATTCGATTTTTAGTTTTCTATGATACCAAAATGGTTAGCCAAGTACATTCAATTTCGCTAGTTATCCCAACTAGCCATAACACTAGTCAATTCAGTGACATATGTGATGTGACAATATGTCAAAGGGTTACTGGTTAATTTTATAACGAAACAACACCAAAAGCGATATTTTGACCAGTGTTCGAATGCGACGCGGGCCACAGATAATGAAGCTGTAGGACACGTGTGGGCCTGGGTTTGGACTACCCTGGTCTATAGAATTTTTTTTGTGGGGCGACGTCAACAAAATTGCGCACTTTTTAGGTCGCATACCGTACTACTTCATTTTGACTTTCGTTCCCCTTTTTGGGCATCGCTCTCAGTTCAACAAAAAAAATGGGCAGGAAAATTGATCATTAGTGGAGTACACGATTTAACAGTTTATCCCGATACAATGACTGTATATTTTTGCATGGATCATTTGCCGTTATTACAGAAAAAACAATACTCATGCCAAATTCTAATGTAAATGAATATTATATAATCCGACACATAGAGAAAGTCCATTATTCACACATAATTACACGCGAGAATTACCTTATTTAATCTTTATAAAAATGATTATATGTTATAAATAATCGTTATCGGTTATTTTAGAAAATGCTTGATTTTTAAGTTGATATTGTTTGTGATCTAAATATTCACAAACGCCCAGATAAATTGTAGATTTTTTTCTTGTTTCAGAATAGAATAATATAAGTGTATAGACTAAAATTACGTAATATACCAATTTTCTTTCTGCATCATTTTTAGGAAACGGCACCGACTACACGAACTGTGACAAAGTCAGTTGATGGCGTTGGACTGAAAAAGAACAGCCGTTTACGGAGATTATTTGAATGCCTATGCTGTTGCATTCACAATATATCTTTAAGCACTATACATGATTACTGTACTAGGTATAGAATTTTGTTCATTGCGATGAAACTTGCTTCATTATTTAATTTTTTTTCTCCAATTTGAACAACATAGTTTTTTGACATGGTACGCATTGTCGTTTCAGCAAAACACAAAAGTGTACTTAGGAGGCAATGATTTATTTGTGTTGTGCCATATCCAATACCGAAGCACTTCTAAAATATTTAAACAAAAATTGTCAGAAAACTAACAATATAGAATATAAAACAACATATAAGCCCTGAGCATTTTATTTACATCCTTTATATTTGAAGCATGGATAATTTTTGCCTCATTTTTCATTTAATTGTGTGTACAAAAATAATTTATCACGAATATAAACATGTAAGAATGTATATAGTTTTGATGGTAAGAAGATCATTCTTTAAAACATGTGAATCATTTCAACGATGGCATGTAATGTTCTGAAATCGTGAAATATAATTATTGATATTTATTGCTCTACTATTTATTTAATTCTGCCTAATCACTTCAATTTTGTATATGCTTTGATCATATTTAAATCTTGTATTTGCCTTTCATCGATAATCTCAAACTGTGGGATTAGGATGTATTTTGTAGTTTTCTTACGTAATGAAATCTATCTCTCCTAATTCATTATTCAATCAGACATGCTGATTTGGAGAAATATAGCAACACAAATGACATTAATAGGATGGATGAAGTTGCTTTTCACTGCACAATTTATCAATTTTCGACGCAATAGGTAAAAAGCAAACTCTACCGACAAGTCCGAGTCTGCAAACGTCTCGACCTTTATTTTGCCACTATATTGGTATAAGCTGAAAATGCTGCCTCACACATGTAGTTCGTTGCAAAAGGCGCCTTTTCTCACAGCGATGGATATTCGTCCGCAACGCTCAACCAAAAGGATGCAATGGCTTTTTGATTGAAATCAATCACTGAAGATCGATTAGTAGATTAGACTCATTTCATATCGTTGCAAACCCCCTGTGCAGTCATGACGGACTAGTTCCCCAGTTTAGGAAACACTGCTCTAAAGTACCAAAGTCCAGGGTGTCTCAAAAGTAGGTATACACTTTTAATTTTGATTTGCTGTCCAGGTAACGCTCTGGTATGAAAATTAAAAGTGTATACTTACTTTTGAGCCACAGAGTACTATAGGCATTTAAAAAGTTTGACTTAAATTGTCTGGCGCAGGAGACTTAAATTGTTGAAAGCGCCATATACTTTCATACCACACACACACACTTTTGAGACACCCTGTATTGGGCAGCACGACAAACATAATATAGTCTTCAATTGTCGCATGTGAAAGTTATTCCGTATCACTGAGAACTAATGTCATTCGAAGACAACACGGAAAAAGATGCCAGGGGTTATTATCCGATTCCGAAATTTATGTATCAAATCACGCCTCAATGAAAACAAAGAATTTTCCTCGATATTTTTTAAAATTTATTATTTGCACCAGTCGCGCTTGGTTTCGTTTATTCTTTAATACAACTAAAAAGGGTACATCAACTAAGTTGTATGTTTTCTTGAAAATTTGCAAATATCAAGGCCACGTACAATGACCAAGGAGTAAGTAAAACTAAACTCAATGATTAAAGTCATCGGTGGCCAGATCAAACATGGATGAGGCGGTGCTAGCAAATACCGAATGATGCACGTTTTGAAGCAGTTCAGTTTTCTTAAAAACGTGTCAAAGAACAAGAACAACATAACAACAAAACGATCGTTATGTCCACTACGTGTCCAATAAGAAATTGTTTCAAATATTAGATAGCGTCTGGAACCCCAAAGTCAAAGAGGAGTTGACATGCTCTTTGAAATAGTTACAGAACAACAGGTGCGGGACGTTTTGATATATTAAAGTGTATCAGAGCTAACATGAGCCTCAATAATTTTTTTCGGTTCAGAGTTAAGGGTAATATTAAGCTGTGGGGGTATGTTGTGCCAGAATGTATTCTGCTGTTATAGCAGAAATAAACAAGTCAGGCGTGTCGTCGTGTAGGCTACATCAGGTTGTCTACCCAATTACAAAAGATACAATTTACACAAAAGGTAACTCAAGGTGGCTTGGGTAAACAGATACCAAACTCTCGATTCTTGACTTTGGTCTGCTGATTTTACATGAATAAATAGTTGAAGGCAGGGTACCTGATAATCGAAGGCCTGTTAAAATAACAGTTTCTGGCAGATCTATGCAGATAATACTGTCGTTAAAGTTTTGAACAATGTGAAAATTACACATGGACGTTTGGAAAATACTAATAGCCTACTACACTTGATTGCGCGTATGTTTAGTATTCTATGAAGTTATCAGAATAAGAACTAGATCATAAGAGCATCAGTAAAATCACATTATATTTACGTTCCCTATAGAACAGGTTCAAAATATCAACTGGAAACTTTAAATTAAAAACGTACAGTCAGTCAACAAGTGAATCACATGCTACTCAGTTATGTTTAAACGTTAAATTATCATATTTATAATATGTTCAATAACCAAATTGTATTTGGCCTTTTTACCAGTGTTGTAAATAAAACGAGCCTTCAAGTTGGGTCACGATACAGTATTTGAATGCAGTTGAGTTTATTGGGTTGTTAGGTTTATAAAGTGGGCTAAATCTGTTTATCAGGTTTCTGACTACAAATTGATTCAAGCCTGGAAATTTGCAACTCATCTCGTACGTTCTAAGCAACTGGCTATATAATTAGCGTGCGTATTGGCATATTGAATATCAGTAAATAGTATTAATTGCTCATTTTAACAAAAACATCACGGTAATTATCAACACTAAAATAAAAATCTCACTTGAATTAAGTTACACGGGATGAAATAACAGTTATTCGTTATAGATTTTTGATCACATAAATGAAGTAATTTATAATGGTACTACAGTACTTGAGACCATCAGAAATAAGGTTCACTCAGGATTCTATTGCTGGAAGATTTCAAGATGGCGGGCTTCTGAATGATACCATATATAATATTCAAAAGGGACTGCTGAGCCCAGACAATTTTCCACATATCAATGTGGTGCGCAAAAATGGAAAATTATATAGTTTTGACAATCGAAGACTATATATTTTTCGTGTATGTGAGTATGAAGGAATCATAGAAAAAATACCAGTACGTCTGGTAGAAAGCTGGAGACTGCGAGAAGATAGATTTACTACAGAGAATGACGGGGTAACACTTCGTGTTAGGCAAGGAGGAACAAAACAACATTACAGAAAACCCTGGCTGCAGGAGCTCGATGATAGAGGAAACCGAAATCTTCCGCCAAGCACGTCGAATTATGTTGTTAAGCACAACCAGATTCCGACTATATTTGGTAATATAGATTCTTTACAAAGTCATAAAACTGGATACACAAATCATGATTACATTCCGTACCCAGAAGTCAAAACTTCTACTAAAGCTCCAACAGCACAGTCTTCCAATTTAAATGCAAGGACAAATATACATCAAAATACGTTTACGACAATCCCGGATACACATAGGCCTACCACTCGTAAAAAAACGTCAAGATCTTCATCTTTGCGATCTGAATTATCAAAATATTCTCCAAAACAACAAACATCAAGACCAAAGATTACTCCAGCACCACGAAAAGCACGAAAGGTATGTAAACTCGATAAGGCTATCTAGTATCTAGTCTCAATAGTAATCTAAATTCCATCTCAATATCCTGAAATGCAGAAAGCGCGTAACAGATGTACGTCTCCTATGCTATCCATAGTTTTTTTATTAAATGAAGCGCAGCAACACATAAAAGTCGGATATCATCAATTTTACAAGCAATTGAGGATTGACTTTAATTGAAACAGTTCAAAACAAGTAATTATCTTATTCTATTCTAATGGAGTGCACGAATTAACAATCAATTCGAGTACAGTGACTGTAAAGTTTTGCATGGCTTCTTTGCCGTAATGACAGAAAAATTACTACTTATGTCAAATGTTAATGTATATAAATGATATATTATCTGACATATGGAGAAAGTCCTTAAGTCCCATATTCATACATAAATACACGACAAAATTACCTGACTGAATCTTTATAAAAACATAACCAAACGTTATCGGCATTGACATATTAGTTTATATACAAGGATGGTTATATATTCCCAACCGCTATTCGAGTAGCCTCGTCCGCAGTGGCCGCAATTCATACACCTTTGCATTAATATATCCCTGTCGAAGCGGATCCGGATGTCTAAACGGAATCGTTTCGGATATCTAGTTTTGAAGCCCTTTCATCTTAAGTTGTTTCTCTAACCATGCACGATTGATTGAGCTGGGAATTTCCCTTGAGTTTCATGTCAAAAAATATTTCCAGTCATCTCGCGAGATGCTCAAAAATTGCATATGCAGTTATACTTGAGACTTCAATTTGGAGTTAGTTTCCATACTTTTGAGCAAAAAATCAGACTTTGCTTTGAGTAATTGTTATTCATACACTTTGTGAATCTGTTGTTGTTATGTTTTAATTCCCGTATTTGTCATTATTTCATCTATGCAATCTATTTTAAAAATAAAGTTAATGATAATTTAAGAATACTATAGTATAACTATAGACTATAGAGCATAGAATGCATAGATATATACCTAAAATTACGTGAAGTACTTATTTTCACTGTGCATCGTTTTTAGATAACCGCCCCGACTACACGAACTGTGACTGCATCAGTTGATAACGCTGAACAGAAAAAGAAGAGCCGTTTACGGAGATTCTTTGAATGCCTATGCTGCTGCCGTCCCCAGGAATGAAATCACATCCAGCGTGATTCTTGTACGAATGCAAATTAACAATTTTAGTATAATGTTGCAGTTAATATATTTCTCATGGCACTATGGATAATTGATATAGATATAATAGGTGTTCATCGTTTATTCTTTCTTCAATTTAAACAGCACTATTTTCTGACATGAATTCGCATCTTTACTTCCAACAAACTACTACACAGAAAGTGTATTATGACTTATGAGTGATGTGTGTTGTGATGATTTAAATGTTGTCTCATATTTCCCCGAAGCACTTCTTAATTTTAAATCAAATATTGTCAGAAACAAAGAACGCAAATATAGAGTATAATACCGGATACGCGCTATGCATTTAATTTACATCCCGTATATTTGCAGTATTGACAACTTTTTGAATATTTATCATTTAATTATGTGTACAAAAATGATTTAGTACGAATGAAAACATGTAAGAATGTATATAGTTTTGATGGTGAGAAGAACTTTCTTCGAAACATGTAGATTATATCACAGATGGCCTGAAATGTCTTGAAATCGTGAAAATATAATATTTGATATTTATTGCTTTTCTAGTCTTATATTCATATAATTCTGTTAAAGCACTTCAATTATATGTTTCAATGATATTGAAATCTTGTATTTTCACGACATTGATAATCTTGAACTGTGGGATTGAGATGTAGAGCATGCCTTGATTACATTTTAGTCATGCTAAACCGATGCTAATTGTTCGTGATTAATAAATATTGGCATTTTAAAGTTTTCTTGCGTAATAAAATTTTTTCTCCCAGAATCCATGGCTCAACCAGGCATTTGCAGATTTTGAGAAATATTTGATGTACCGGGCTGATATTGAGTCTAGTCAACAAACATGAGTTCATGTCTGTCGAAGTTTGGTAATGCACAAAGGAGACTAGAGACGCCTGCAAAAATATTTCCTTGCCACAACCCCAATGTAGCTTGACACGATGACTGCATATTGTGATTTTATATATAATATACATTTAGTACAGGTATGAAAACTGTCACAAATCGTCGTATGATTGAAAAAAACAGCAGAAATAATGTACGCAGCATTGACACAATTTTCTCTCTGAGGACGTATCCAGCAAACTTTTTTCATCGTCTTGCGAATCCTGCTGAAAATATCAAAAATTTAGATACACAAGAAGACTCGTGTCTTCATTTATAATATTCAACTGACTTTTCAGTTTTTGAATAGGAAAATACATAATTATTTCGTTACCAGCAGATGATAACCAAGTTGGGCAATGGGTTACTTCAATTGAAAAGTTGCTATTGAAAGTTTTTGGCCTTTATTCGAAGTCTAGTATCATTTTGTGAACAGCATATATTTTTGCATCTTTTAAGTCACAATATTTTACAAAATATGCATAAAAATCGTCCTATGTTTTAGGAATCAGAAACATACAAAATACAAAAAATTGCTTACTTTTTTAAATGAGTGTAAATGTTGTACTGAATCATCTCGAGGTGATGAAGGTGTACGTTTTAATACGGTTTTACGATCTACTTTTGGAGAAAAAGTCCATTCATCGCTCCAATGAGGGAAAACTTGTCCTTTGTTTTGAAACTGAATAATTTTCCCTTCGCGATCAGGTGATATAATACTTAAATCAAAATCGCACGGACTTGCGACAATAACTGAAATATAGTCTAAAGCACCAAAGTATTGGGCAGCACGAAAAACATATAGTCTTCTATTGTCGCATGTGTAATATATTCCCTTTAGGTTGAAAACTCTCATAGGTGCAACATTTTCCGGATTAGTGCTTCCTTTTAGTATGTTTTGTAAAGTTGTGTTGCAATCTAAGCCGTTATCAAAAGTACTTTGTATCTTCTGGGTTGTGAACCGAACAAGAGAAGGCTGTAAGATCTTGTATCTAACCATATTCCCAATAGAAATAATGGATTTTCCTTTTTTATTGACGACTTGACTTGATTCCACCTGCGCTGACTTGAATAGCCCTAACGTAATGACTGAATACCAGGTTTAAAAAAATATGCACAAATCGATACTCAAACAAGGCACATTCACTATCAATTTCTTGCAATAAAACGTTATTGACAAACGGTATATTATGTCTGTCGTTTTATTTGATCTAACGCGCCGTAACGATGCTACAAACGTTCATATTATTAGGAATTATACTACAGTTCACAGGATAGCTGAGCCACTTGCTTGTGCGTGTACTCCGTATTAATATTTACATATACATACTGAGATGAATTTATCATATTGAATCTTTTAAAACTAAATCATGTTTTTACAAGAAAACTTATTCGTGAGATATTATATTGCTGACTAAAATTAAAAATCCAATCAACTCCTAAAGTCCAAATACATCTGATACTAAATCGTCGTTCGACGAGTTCGAAGACCAGGAGAAAGATTTCAGGCTTTAATATTCGATTTCACAGAGCATCATTCACACAGTGATAATTTCTTGGTAATAAATTTCAATATTTACGCAACCTCAATCTCTACAAATAATAGGTGTGTTCGCCGACCTGTTCTGCATCTGCGCCATATCTGATTTACAAATACTGATTAATATATACTTTACCTATGTGCTTATCAATAATGCGTCGCTATCTAAAATCAACACATCTTTATATTGTTTGTAATACATATTCATGACATTTCAAACAAAACGGTTTCTAACATCCTGATATTTAGCATGATGTCTATGCGAACTATAATCAAAGTGAAATGCTTTGTACCCCTTATTCAAGAACTAGCTATTTTAGACAGGAAGACGGGTAGGAAGGTAAATGGTTAATAATTAAAAAAAATTAAGCCACAAATGCCTAACGTCATTATGTCATTTTTAGGAATGAATTACACGTTTTGGCATGTATTTATTTGAACACACAATATTTGTTCACACACAGGGCGAAATTATTAAAGTATATAACCATGTTGAAATATGTTTTGCAAATTTCTTGTTGTAGAAGTAAAACTAGATCTATCGATTTCATACCAGATCAGATGAATTGATCGTAATTACAAAAGATATCGATGAATACTAGTCTTCTTTATTTTTGTTTCCACAGCCATGGCCAAGAAACACATTTAAAAATTGTCGACAACCAGTTAGCTACAAGTGTCATTCATACCTACTCGCTCTAAAGTGATAACTAAATCTGCTGCAGATAAATTTTAAAACAGCTGTGCTAAATCCAACGCTGCTAAAGATTTGCGTCGTGAAAATGAGACCATAACTAAGAGTTTCGGCTGAATGCAAACCCATCACAACTCACGGCGTTCTGCGTAATTATTCATAAACGTTGCCGCGGGGATAACTCGAACTGTCTCGAATGAAAATGGCAAATTACTCGTGGAGCGAGACAAACTGACACATATAGGAAGTTGTGTGCTATGGATGAATGCACAAAGTACCCATTGGTGCAAAAGTAAATATGTACCGATGGAAAAATTTCTTATATTGATTGGTGTAACAGAAAGACTTATTTGCAAACTTTCAAGTACAGGGAATCGATATTTGTATTCATTTTTACGCTTTAATGATTTTGTAAAATATTAATAACTTGTGTTAGAGTCATGACCGTAGACAGATATGTAGGGGCATAACGTCATTTTTAAAACGACTTCGATTTCAAATTTTATCTTCTCTTAGGTGGCAGAAGCACATCGCTTAAAACAAGACGCCAAAATTTATTCAACACCATCTTGTGTTGGAAGCGAAATCATTCAATAAAAAATATAAAAATCTGGGATTTGACTTAGGTCTCGTCCACGTAACATTTTTAAATCACAACTTCGTACCGACTATAACCTGTGGTCAGGAACTTATTTTTCAGTCGCAGTATATAACGACCACCGCATAGTACATTTTTCCCCCGCTTAGTTTGTAAATCATGTATACAAACTCTACCTTGTAGGGTTTATGCAAATGTATTTATCCTCCCTACATCGGCGGACCCTTCACATGACCCTCAGATGACATGTATTCTCGGAACGGACTTGTGTCCGAACTTGAATAGCAGCCAAGTTCTAATTTATGCTTGAATTTACATAATATATAGAAAGCAGGTTTATTTACATAAAATCAATCAAGTCAATAATTAATTACTAGATACTGGAATTGCTGAAAATAAATATTCGAATATCAGACCAACTGACTTTACATGCGTGCTAGGTAAAAGTGACATTTGGATATAGATTGCCGGAACAATCGCACCACAATCATGAAACATACTTTGGCCAAATTTTAAAATGTCTGCTTTAAAATCGCATTCATATCAGTGCAGTTAACACACTGGCAGGGCAAGCATGTTGTAAATAAAGACATGAAATTACTCGAAATGAATGAAGCTATAAATCTCAGGCCTCGTATCTTTATTTTGTTTCATGTCATGGAAGATTGCAAATCTTCAATTCACACGTTAATTTATTTTTAATGTAGAAGATGCTTGACTGATAACAGGCTCATGATAATTCTCTTAGTTTTCTTTACTTAGAAAATAAAAAATATTCTAAGACTAGAAAGAGTTAAACCACGCTTATTTTCGCGCAAAAAGCCATATCTTACTAGACATCATATCAAACAGATTTGGTTATTTAGCAAGATTATTGGATTAAGAAATTGTATATTTAAAGCAATATATTCATTTTTAGTCGAAATGGTGGTGGTGATGGCAGCTTTAAGGCTTACTCTACATATTATTTTTGGAACTCCTGACGTATGTAAACCAAGATGGCGGACACCGGAACGTAGTATGTCTACCAGGTTAGGGCTATGCCATAATTTTATTCCAATTTTCCTTATTTTAGTTCTATTACGAGTTCGGGTACTAGCCAAGTGACTCCCGAAGTATTTGTACCCGAAATTATGGCCTAGCCCTAACCTGGTACAAATAATATGTTCCGATGTCCGCCATCTCAGTCCACATACTTCGGGTGTATACTTTATTTTATTCTGGTTTCCCCGTGCCTCAATGACCTACATGAAACTGTTTTTAAAATTGTTGTTATTATTTTACGGCTTTTAGGTGAGTTTTACAAGACTTAAAACTTCCGTTTTGGAAATTAAATTTGATCCTTTGTTTGGAGTACATGTCATCACCCGTATGTATTCAATTTCTTGTGAGGTTCGTGGTTCAGAAAATCGAATGCTTGACTGGAATAGTTTCCGCAATACAATTTTAATCGCAATACAATTTTTAAAATTATTATTAAAAAAAATTGAAAATAATTTTTTTGTGGATTGATTGACTATATGCTAATATGGAAGGTTCATATTTTCAGTTGAAACAACGAACCAACGCAACGGATCATAATATTTGACATACTTCAGCGTAGACTTTATCGGAAAATTATCTAATTGAAAGTCGAAACGAGAATTTTTGATGCTAATTTGTAAATATTCTATGTCAAATTTTAACTTATGAAATTGAGAAATGTTTCAATACTATTTTCATAATATAATTATAATAGTAACATTCGTGCAAAAGCAAATAATGACAAAAATGAATTTGAAAAATGATTGGTATAATATATAGTTGCTAATACACCTTTAATTTATAATAAACTTTTATATCGTGAAGTATGCTATAAAGCGCAGATTTATCGAGGTTTTGGAAGTCAATTTTTTATTTACAAATTCCAGAGATTATATTTATGAATATCAAAATCCAAACTGCACCACTGCCAATCGATAATGTCGGGGTGCAACAGAAATCCCCACTATGAAACGCCATACACGTGTCCTTGAACTTTAAACTCCGTAAGGTAAAGACATTCCAATAGAGACATTCGGTTGAAACTTGATGCTGCATATTGACATTTCTCGATATGGCGGATGGAATTTGAAATGTCATAAACATGGTGTACGGTTACTTAAAACATTGGTGCATATACTGAGGTATTCAGTTTGGATTGCACATCACGTCTCAACCGCAAGTAGATTTAGTTTCCAAATAAGATCAGGTAATGCGTTGTTTCGGCGACTTCGTTCTTACGGTTATTAGATTAATGCCACTTAGGGGTTCGTCAACAAAAAAGATCTGAAACAGGAAAATATATTTTTATACAAATGGTATCGTTGGCCGTTGTTGCATTACTCACATTTGATCGATTAGTTTGCTTTTGAGAACAAACGTATAGTTTTGTTTTGAATACTTATCAGAAATACCGTCAGCAGCAGTCCAAATGTTGTGGTTTTCTGATACGGGAAACAGGCCTTGTTTTGACTTATGTGTAACTAAAGCTGTGCTTTGAAATTTTTGACATGTTGGAAATATTTTGTTTGATAAACTTTTCGTGTCTTTGAAGTTTATTGTTTATGTGTGCAAATATCGTACAGGCCTAAAATTAATGTGTTTTAAATGTTTTCATCGAATCCCACTAAAGTCAGATTCAGAGATTTGTTTAAATTAAAAAAATACATTAACTCATTACATTAAGAGGAAGCCAACTATGTCAGACACTTGTGAAATTTTAATTTTTTTAATGCCATCCATTTTAAATTATTACCATAGTAAGTTATAAGAAAATGATCAATTATCATCTGATCAAGTGAGGCTCAAGCACGAACGTTAACACATTTTCACTACTGTGGAAAAACGCGTAAATAGAAATATTCTACGCAGAAAAGATTGTCGTAAATAAAAATAGTTATTTTCTTCCGGGAAACTCCTATTTGTTTATCCAAAAGAATCAATACTGTAACAATTGCAGTTTGGAATGTTTATTCAAGCAAAACAACATAATTGATTCAACAAAAAAATGAATATAAATAAAAAAACATTAGTGCAATAGGTATGGTCGACTATATTTCAAGTCAACTAGACTACAACTTAAACGCGTAACAGAAATGTCACTAGTCGAAGTAGGATCATTAGGAAAGATCAAGTATTTATTTTGTGACACTTGTATAATTAATAATGTTATAATCTTAATTAAATTTAGTGGCAACAGATTACCAATAATATTATTTTGCGGTCTGAATATGATTCCTACAGAATACAGATTAAACAAGTCTAAATTTCATGACTTCAATAAGAAGTGGGTCGTTATTGTTTATACAGGTTGGACTATGTTTACAGCTATTATGACTTACTACCCACCTGCCTATATATATTGCTACTTGGCGCATTAATCGCCTGTCTATGCATCAGACTAAGATTATCAACTTATTATATGATCATTCTTCTATTCTACAGCGCTATAAATCTAGGTTTTTGGTCGTGGATCACACAACTTTGTCAGTTATAGATTATAATGAACAAAAAACACAGATAATCGGAAAATCGGAAAACAAGAATAATATTAATAAAGAAATAAGTGGAACTTAAACACATAAAGAAAAATAAGAATGAAAGTACTGTTTTGCAGTTCTTTTTAGAAAACACTCAATACATATTTTCGATCAATATTGTGTGGTTAATATATGTGGTGACGATGACTACGGAAAGTGCAGATTGTTCTTCAGAATTCGTGGTCTTGGATAAAACATGTTTCAGGAAATTACCAGTATTGTAGATGAATTATTGAGACCTTTCTATTAATGCAAAACTCTGTACGTAATTCAATCCAAATGCTTCGGAATAACAGCAAAATGGGTGATTTCCATTCCAATACTTCGCTTTATGTCTCCTTGTTGTAAAGCTCCGGTCATTAAATAACCGTTTTGTATATCACTTTGCGAAATTCTGGCAGATAAATGAAGTTTAAAATCTGGAGTGTCTAGTCTTTTAAAACGACCGGTGATTGTCAAAGTACCGTCGCGATTTTGGGAGATTCTTGCAACCGCGGAATGGGTCTGTGTTCCACCGGCGCAGCTTTCAACCACCGTACAATATCTCTTCCACCATCTGAGAATAAAAATTATTAAGAGATGAATGAGTGCGCTGCATTTATTTAGTTTTGCACTTGTTATTCGCTATCAATTGAGCTTATATCAACTAAAAATGAAATGAATTAAATAAATTTATGTTACTCGATGTGAAAATCTTCAAAAACACTGCTTTTTAATTTCCAATGCATTTATTTTTATAGAAGAATAAAGAAAGGGAATAAATTTTTAATATACCTGTTCAACTTTATTGTCCATTGCACTGTCTTTGCATTTTTCGCCCATTCCTCTTCTGGATAAAGTAGAACTTTCGCAGTTGTACATTTCGTCCCACTAAGTATTGTATTACATTTTTCATTTGCAGCGCAATATTGCTCGTATGTACTTTTAAATAATTCACTTTTATTATCGTAAGGTGTCGGGTAAAATTTTTCGTCAATATTTTCAACTATTCCAGTAACCCCTAGATCGTAATGCACCGTTGCAAGACAAAGGTCGATTTCTTGGGTGGTGGAGTGATGACATTCAGAATCACTTTCCGATTTTAGACTCTCGAGGCTATTTTTATGACGACGAAAATTGTTTATTTTCGATTTTCTATATTCTTTCTTCTTTTTAAAACAGTCTATTTCTAGTCTTGCGTGTCCCATGTCACAATGCTCTGGCACGTGATAACTGAATTCATCGAGTGCCGATATTTCTCCATATCGTCTTGAAATTCGATCCGATATTTGATCAAAAACTCCCATTGTAATTATTGTGATTTTTGCTTTTGTCAGATGCAGATTTAAAAGTGAAAAAAGTATAAAAATAAATCTAAAGAATAGAATATATGAGATTATAAATTTAGACATGAAATGTTGATATGTTTCATTCACGTTGAAGTCCTGAATAAATTTATGAGAATTGATATCCCAAAGTGCTATCCAGTCAAATAATAATAAGCATGCTACAGAATAATACAGAAATCAAATAACATCAAAATTTTGAAATGAATATATCTCAAAACAAAGTTTATTTCAGTGTCCGACAACCATATCATCTTCAATTCTCTCTCAGTATAACATCTGACTTTCCACAAACATTCATTCATTTCATGTAAAATTACCAATGCAATTTTACATGACAAAATCTATTATTGTCTAAAAGCAATTGACCGACTAACTCAACAGCAAACACTTAACATTAACCAGTTGTAAAATAAATCAAAAGGCATTGAAATAATACAAAAATCTAAATTTACAGCACAAACCGTTTATGGCGTATATTCGGCGCAAAACTGAACTGATTTCAAGATATATATTCTACATTTATTATGCACCGATTTGATTAAATTGAACCGTCGTGGAATCAGTCGCCAGCAAATTAAAAGCACGCCTTCCAGCTGCTATTCCCCAAAGTTTACAGGCAAATCTGCAACACTTCTTCCGGGCCTTAGATAGTGATCAACTGCTAGATTCGAGATCAGTCGCAAAATTCAGAAATAAAGTGGAGAAAAAATCAATGTTTACTTCTCTCACATTTGACTTAGTTTCTCTCTTCTATTGCTTTCGTTGGACACGGAGATAGTGGAGTAAACTGGCAGCCAAAGTTATTATGGCATATAAATGGGCAGTATTTTTCTTCTCTGGCAACTCGTCATCCAATCTTTTTAAAACATCACGATCATTTCCAAAAATGTACTTTAACTGAACTCAACAAACATCTGTGAATGTGGTACATTTTAGCATGCATTTTATTTTCGACGATTTATTTATTATTCAGCGCGGACAATCAAAAGTTCGTCCTCTATAAATCTACATAATTTTTCATATCAGGCATGTATTTTCTTCATATATTATTTTGTCATTCTATCTACAATCTAATTTAATGCTCTAAGATCATCGCTATGTGAGTATGGCTATACTAAACTATTCCAATTCCTCTCTGTTCACGATATATTATATCTCAAGCAACTACCATAGCTTCTTAATCAAATTCTTCCTAAACTACATGTTTTGGAATGATGTAGCTTGATCATCAACATAACAACCTCTCTAATAAACTGTAAGATTTGTCTTATTGGACCATAGAGAATCGGAAAATCAATGACTGTAATAAAGCATTCCCGTACATCGAAAAGAATCTCTAATTAGAAGCGATATTTCGCGTTCCGTCTCAGATATTGATTTAGTCGTAAATTTGCTAGAGATTTTTGAGAAATCGTTTATTGTAAATTTATAACGAAAAGTATGGCAACCCGCGAAATCGAATTTATACAAGCGAATCATTCGCCAAACACTTTCTTAAGAAGCTTTCTCACTTCCACCGTATGGTATTATTCCTGAAGCTATCCAGCACCCACATGCAATCATTTACAGATCATGAGCTACGGCTGAACTAAACAGCATTTTTAACAGACAAATACTGCCTCAGTATACATAACATGACTCTCGTATTGATCCATTTACTGCAAGAGCAGGGGCAAAACCAATGTTTTTTATTTTAGAAAAGGTAATGTAATGTACGACTCCCTAGGGGCCTATAACAGGTGATGTGCTGCCAGATACGCTTCGCTTTATTGGGCATGAAATCTGATGTCTTTACCACGTCCATGGATGAAAAGTTCTTTTTCTGCCTATCATAAGCATGGCCTAACCCTGGAACAGTGAACAGGGGCACAAATCGATTTCGGAATCTTATCGGAAAAGAGAAAAATAATTTTTAACAAAATACAAAATAGAAAACGGAGTCTTGCTCTGGCAAAACAGGGCAAGCAAACTTCGAATTATCTTCATAAATAAATTGTTTCTTGGTATTTACATTTTTATGTACATGTCACGTATGGTCCAGAATAAGCCACAAAACAAAGGAAAAATTAATAAGTGCTGTGCTCGTCGAACAATGAATACCTCGATAATAATAAATATAACTAAAACCGATTTCGAAGCAATTTTTAACATGCAAGCTTAAGATTGAAAAGGTTTAGGATCTTGAAATCTGTGATCGTACTAGTATTTACAAAAATATAGGATCCTTCATAATGCGCGTGTTATAGACACTATTACACTTTGTATACCCTGACCCTCAGGAGAGTAATTCTGTACCTTCTGACATATGGAATGTTACACCTGGTATATTATATATGCATGGAATGATTTTACCTCTACGTCTCAGTAGACCAAATAATTAAAACATGCGCCGTCTTGTCTCTGCGCCGAAATTGAAAATTGATTTCTATTAGACTTATCGATTTTCTACAACAAACAATTAACGGTTTCACCAGAAGGGCAAGGAAGGTTCAATTCACTTGTATTATAAATCTTAGCTATGTTCTTCTTGAGGCGTCAATGATGAATTATAAAATGATACGCCACTGTTTCGATAAAAATAAGATTATTGTTGGATAACTCTGTTCAAAACGTGTTTCCATACCATCATTTTCTGCAACAGTGCATTCAGGTGTGAAATCTCCATATTCGTTGATCTCTCATACCAAATATAAATTTACCCTTTTATGTCACTGAATAATATATTTAAGAAGACCGCCTGGGTGGCAGCTCGTAGAGATCGGGCATGGTTTTGTATGTGTTGCCACTTGATATAAAAAAAAAAATCCAAGACAAGTCGACCAAACTTTTGGCTTTCATCTTCCGATAAGATACATTAAAATGACAGCACACAGGGAGGTAATGGGTGATTTATAACAAACCAGTCCTGATCCAACTCAATTACACGATTTAACCTTTTTACCAGATCCTGATAATCAGAGTTTTGCTTGTTTTATTATCAAGTTTTTCAATGGAGAAATTTTTGAATGTAAATATTAATTTGTATTTTGATTATTTTATCATACCTCCAAATCCGACCACGGTAAACAGAAAAAATACAAACATCAATCGACCTACGTAGCGGCACAAAGTCCGATCCACAATAATTGAATTAAGTCTGCTGGCCATCTGCTACAAAGCAACACCGCCACATTACAAGTCGTTAAACGTAACGTTTTTCCCATTTTTGTTGCGCGTTTGGAAACCCTTTTACCTTTGTAGAAGGAAATCACCGACAAAAACATTTACTTTGATGTAATACAAGATATAAGTTAATTTACAAACATCGTAAACCATGTTTGCCACCCTAGTATTGATCGCAATTACCTCAAGCATAACTTGATTATATGGGTTATTGAAACCATGATTAAACAAAATAAGACGATTAGGTTGATCAAATACAAGTACTACACTGGTGGTCGTTCGATGCGTTACAATAAAGAGCTTGGTGTGGTTAAAAACTCTTTTAAGCGGTATACTTCAAAATGGTATTGCATAAAGTTAAACATAATTATTCATAATGAGGAAGGATTTTTTGTGGTACTAGGCTCGTGAATACTGAGAAAATGCTTGCCACATTTAAAGATTAACTTATCGCAACATAAGCATGGGTGCTAGCTTTAACAGGGGGGTGGGTGTAAAGTTCATAACTAGGTGTACTTTTACTCGAGAAACCCACCCTAAACCTCGAACTACATGTTCGTATATTCAAGCTGTGAAGAAATTAGAAAGCCGAAATAATTCCTTCAAATTTTCTACTAACTATAAAACTCATTGTGCTATTCAAATAAACGATTTATTTAACGGTACACGTTCCATTGCAATCACTAACACACACATAAATAAAATTAGATTACCAGTTCAGCCAATCATGTGTACATAGGAATACACTACTTGACAATCGGGTACAACAGCACAACATAAACAAACAGAACAATATAAACAATAGAATTAGTTTACATGGAAATAATGTTAATGTGACACACAAATGTTTTGTTTATGAATCAGGAGATGTTACAAGGTAAGTAGGTCATTTAGTCTAAAATCGAGAAAATGTTGAACAACTTCGTTGATAAACTTCAAAAGTGGACAGGCATTGAGTCGGGCATTAATTAAATGACCCATGTAGTGTCCATCCTGGGCAATATTGTGATTATGGAAAAAAGTTGTTTAGGATTCAAAATTGCCAATAATACAAAGAAATACCCGAACTACTGCGTAAGATAATGATAAAGTTTGGTTTAAAAACGCAATAGCAATATCAATTTAATTTTAATATCAAAATCTTGAGATTTCATCGATAAATCTGAAAACAATTAACAAGGAATAGTTACGTAAAATATGTGCCATGTATTGTACAGTTTTCATACATCAGATTTTTATCAATTTTTAATATTTGTCGTTTTTATGGTTATATAATACTAACAATGAGACGAATGCGGATATTACGGATTAGATCATTTAATATGTTTTTAATTAGAAGGACAGAGAATATTTATGTGGTGTAACTTTGCGTGTATAGCTCTCGTCTTTGTTTCACATAATGAGTTATGTAATTAGCGATGAAAAAATAAACAGCGTCCGGGTTAGCGACCAATTTTTCAATGCGTACGAGCGGATCGTTTGGAGAGGAATTACAAGGTTAAAAAGTACTTTTTGAATTGCGTTATTTCCGTACGTCCGTATATTATAAAAATAACAAATAAAGTATTGAGGGATCAGCATACAATCTTTTATGTGCTATGTACAAGGTGGTTTGCGAGCGAATATTTTTGTATTACTAATGTATCTTATTGTAATGTATCTATATAACGTTCATTTGATTGCATTATATTAATTGGCCAGAAAAATTTCGTGTCACCTCGAAAATTTATGAGGTTGCGCGGTCAAGTATTTTTATGGCGGCAATAACCACGTAAATAAAGTAAGATGTTTCTCAAAGTAATTGACCGTCATTCGTTTAAGTGTCAAGTTATTCAATTGATCTATCAGTAATGACCGGACGTACCAACATTAATACAATACAATGAGTTATAAGTTTCTGTCAAACTAAAATGATGGCAAAGTTGACAACAGAACAAAGAAAAACACTTTTATAAACTGAATAAAAAAATGAAAAATAGAGAATAAAAAAATATGATCATAATATTTTTGAGTGAAAACCATTTTCATAAATAAAATATTCACATTTGC